CCGGGTATTTCCGTTGGCTTCAAGCCAGCTGAAAGCAAAGAGAACAACAAAGAAAGACATGACCCCTAAGCGACTTGAACGCTTGACTTTGAGATAACACCGTGGTGCAGCACCTCTTTGGAATCTCACACTCTACCGACTGAGTTAAGGGGCCTTGGTCATCAACCCCCTTTCCTTTGAGACACATCAACCCTTTTTAGTTTTATTTTCCATTCACTTTTACGACTCTTGTCCTAAGCTCACTACTCCTGCTCTCAGCTACCCCTCTTTACTCGCCCCAACACCTCTCTATCTTCTATCGCTACGCACATTCTTTTTCACTGACTGGTGCTACGTTGCCGATGACGATAGAACAATTTTACAATAGATTAAATGTAAGTTTATACAATAGAATATAGTGTATTCTATTACAGTGAAAGAAAGAAAGATAATATGGAAAATTGAGTTGAGTTGAATTGAATTGATGTAAAAATAAACTATATTGTATATTGTGTAAAGCAAATTTAGTGAAATAAAAAATAAAATAAAAAATAATGAAATAAAATAAAATAAAATAAATGAAAGAAAAGAAAATAAAAGAAAATAAAATAAAATAAAATGAAATGAAGAAATAAAATGAAATGAAGAAAGAAAGAAAAGTGGAAGCCTGAACGTATACAGGATATCTTTGATGAATACATGCGAGCAAAAGATGAGTAAATAGCAAGCTTGAGCCCCTTCTATTCACAATAAGAGGAACCAAAAACCAGCTAGTCCCGCCGGGGATCGAACCCGGGACCTTCTCCGTGTGAAGGAGAAATCATACCACTAGAACACGGAACTCAGTCTTCTATTGTCCGGTCCTACTCACAGTACAAGTAGCCGTAAGCCTCAAACGAACGCCGGTTTTGGTTTCTTGTTTGGCTTTTTCGGTTCGCCGCTCAAATCAACGAACCGTAATGTCTTCGTTTTTGCGCTTCTAATGCGACGGGGATTCATTGACTTTCACTCTATCGCGTTTTGCTTCCGGTGGCTCGTGTTTCTAATCAGCTCGTGTCGAGTCCTCATTCGGCTTTCTGCGGAAAAAACAAAGAGGAGGTAAGAAAATAAGAACTCGGAACTCGAACGGGGAAGACAGGGTAGTAGTGGGCTGAAGATGTGATGTTGAAATGCGGTCTATGACGAGAAGGGTATTCGTCGCAAGTCTTGTGCCGTAGAAAACGGAAGAATAATCAAACACAAAGAACTATGGATGGAGGGATGTACTACGATGGTAGAGATTTTACGAGCCAGTCCCGCTTAGCTCAATCGGCTTAGAGCGTCCGGCTTTTAGGACACGATAGTCAGGTGACCGGAAGGTTGCGAGTTCGAGTCTCGCAGTGGGAGATACTTTTTCCCATGGCGGGAAAAACTTGGGCCATGTCGATGCGGGCCGAAGGTTGAATGCTGGGCGCCGCCCGTATTACATTGGAATGCCTTCACTTCAAGTATACTTGTTTGTGGGAACACGCAAACAATCCTGATGGAAGACCAGCACGTAAAGGTTTGTGTTGAGGCAGCGTGAACTTGGAGGACTATTTGAGGGGTAGAGACATGGTGGCCGTTTGGTCTAGTGGTATGATACCATCTTAGGGTGATGGTGGTCGTGGGTTCGATTCCCACAACAGCCCTTTTGCCCGGCTACGGGCGTGCGTGTTGCCTGTTTACAATTTGAGCCGTTTCCGTCCATGGTGGATGGCCTGGTCGTGCTGTCATGATCTGCCTGAAGTTGCCTACACTCGGCAGAAACAAAAGCAAACAAGTCCTGTCGGCAGGAAAAACCTTAATGACGAAGGTGGGGTTCGAACCCACGCTCACATATGTGAACTAGCACGCTCAGTTTCCTGAAGCTAGCGCCATAGACCACTCGGCCACTTCGCCTAACGCGTTCTGTTTCTCTGCTCCACCTCACCTATACCATACTGGCAGACAGGGTAGAAGGCGATGTATGCGGCACTGGTGCTGAAAACCACACACACATGGAACATGGAACATGGAACATGGAACACGGCAACGTAGAGAGAGGACGAAAGAATAGACATTGTCGAGATGAAACACCGCTGGCCTCTCGGTCTAATGGCCTGCGTTAGTTCTGCCAGGCTCGCAAAGTCGCAACCCGCATCTTCCATACGTCTGGCGGATTCGGCGATGCTTGCGCGGTAAAGAGGTGGCGGGTTTCCGCGTGTGGTGTTTCGGCAGCGGGACAGGCTATATTGCAAAAAGGGGTGACTACGAGCAAGTAAGTAGCGGGAGAGAAGGGGTTTGCAAAGAGACACTGTGTTATGGAATTAGAATGGAAGGGTGTAGCGTGAGGGGGTCATAGCTCAGTGGTAGAGTGAGGGATTGCAGATCCCCAGGTCGCTGGTTCGAACCCGGCTGGTCCCTGACTTTTGCTATTTTTTTGTTTGGCCGTGTAACTAGCTTTGGTGTGTGGATGGCGAGCTAGTGCTGTTGACTTTTTTTTTTCAGGCGTGGCTCTAGCAATCGAAAGCGTGCTGAACCGCACGGTAAGCAAAAAGAAAGAGTTATTAAAGAAAAGACAATGATCTCGACAACGGCAGGATTCGAACCTGCGCTCCCAAAGGGAATCCGCTGGGCTACTGATAGCAGGCGAACGCCTTAAAACCACTCGGCCACGTTGTCCTCAGCGCTCTCCTCTCCCTTCTTTCTACATATTACCTATCTTTTCCTCCCTTCCTGTCTCGCCATTACTAGAGCATCTCATTCT